CGCTGCGCCCCGATCCGCACGGCACCATCCGGGCCATGTTCACGCGGATGCCTCTCGACGACGCGCAGCGGCGGCTGTGGCAGGAGGCGGCCCGGAGCGACAGGAAGACGCAGCAGGAGCTCGTCAGGAGGGAGTTTGCGGACGCGGGGTGGCAGGCGCCGCGGATCCTGGAGGCGATGGAGGATTCGGAGGACTACTACTTCCAGGCGCTCCAGCAGATCAAGATGAAGAGGTGGTCCAACGGTAGGGTTGTCTGTCTTGGTGATGCGGCGTGGGCGCCGACGCCGTTGACGGGGATGGGCACGTCGTTAGCGATCCAGGGGGCGTATGTGCTCTCGGGCGAGCTGAGCAAGCTTGGAGAGGGGGAGCATCCCAGGAAGGCTCTGGAGGAGTTTGAAGGGAAGTTTAGGAGTTACGTTGACGAGACGCAGCATATCCCGTCCTTCTTCCCTGGGGTTGTGCATCCTGATGTGGCGTGGAAGAGATGGCTATTCCAGACGTGTGTGGCGGGTGTAGCGAGGGTCGTTGCGAATCCGTGGGTTCAGAGGAGGTTTATACAGGATACTAATGTCGAGGACACGGATGGTTTCACGTTACCGGAATATGAGAAGTTTGAAGTTGATGGGTTTGCAAGATAACTCGGTGTAGAGCTTCAGAGTTTGGCGGATATATGATAAGGGGCTCTTGTTACGAATATAAAAATCTTCTCTCACTACACTATTCAGCTTCAAGTCGTCTTGGAGACAAATCAATCGTCTTGTTTTCCTAGTCCAAGACCACCTCTTGCTTATGTTCACAACGGCCACTTCCCCCTTTTCTTCAAATCCTCTCTTACAGCTCTCCACTGTTGAGCATCAATCCTATAAACCCATCCAATCACATTCTCATCATAACTCACAGGCCCCTTGGTCTCGATCTCAGCCAAACCCAAGGACGTCATCAGCGCCCTCCACGGCTTGTTATCATCAGCCGTCTCAACGCGAACAACCTTGCACCCAAGCTCCTCGACCGCGTACTCGACCTTGGCACACAACGTCTCCCGCCCGTACCCCTTCCCCCAGTGCCGATGATCGAGCACCACGCCCGTATCAGTAAGATACGGGCGCCCCCTGACACCATCCTCCCCGTCCTGCTGCGCGACAGAGGTGCCGTTTTCGTCTTCGAAGCAGTTGTACCCGCCGTTGCCAATAACCTCGCCCGTCTCGCGGAGGGCCACCACCATGAAGGCGTTCTTGCCGGCTGCGGTCATGGGTTTCCAGCGGCCGATGCGGGCGCGGATGACCTCGGGCGAGAGGCCAGGCTGGACGGCGTCGAAGGGCTGGTTTTCGGGGGTTGAGAGCAACTTGTAGAGGGCCTCGTCATCTTCGGGGACGGCACTGCGGATGATGAGGCGCGGGGTCGTGATGGTGTAGGCTTCTTGTGGGAATGGGGCTGCCATCTTGGTGGTGGATTCACGAGGACAGAGGAATGATTAAGTGAGTTGGCTTGTAATCATGAGGTATGGTCTTCTGGTTGAATGAAGTTGGCTCTCAGGTCTCTACTTGAAAGCCGCCCAACGAGAGTCTTTATCAACTGCAGCATCCTTCAAACCACGTTATGCTCGTTGCACTTGGCAAACAGTGACTCATTTTCAAGAGCGTTTGCGACTTGAATTGAGTTTTAAGCTGCGGGCACCGGGTTGACGTTCTGTCACCTTCCCGATTTGCTGAAGGATCAGTTTCTACATGGCTAGACTGGCCAGTTGTATGACTCTTCAGCAGTCATCAACACCAACGCACCAACGATAATGCATGCAACTTGCATGTCTGACCACTCAGGAGCGCCGATTGGCCGCATGTAGAATTTGGCCTCAATTTCCTTGTTTAGTGGGTCTATTTGGTCCTCTAAAGCCCAGACTGACTTGCATTGGCAAGTTGCAGTAGACATCATTGGCTCCAAAGTATGCTCTGAAATCATCCTCCGCAATAGTCTGGTTGCTCATGAAATATATTGAACTAGTCCTGGTTTCAGGCTAATAACCCAATCCAAGTCGAATTTGAAGTGTTTGCCAGCTGCCCGTGTTGATGACAACACAGTTGCCAACGACAAGCGAGCTTCTGTCGAAATGAATCAGTGAGGAGTTATCCCGTCAATAGTCCGCCAAAGAACAATTCATGCTGTCGAAACATGAAGATGGCGACCAACAGTTTGTGACCACCTGGAAGATTCGCAATCTCACAACGCTAATCAAACGCCTTTCCCCGAGGGTCAATCACGGGGAGAGCCAAAGTATGTGTTACTGACTGACCTGGCCCCATAACATTAGAGTTCATCCTGTCAACTCTTAGTCACCTGCTGAATCGTGATCGTGGGCGACTAAATGTTTCTGGTCCGTGTGAGATGACCACGATGACCCCTCAGGCGCATTGAATCTGTCCAGCGATAACCCGGTTCGACGTGGGCGGCAGCGTTAGCAGAGAATAGCAACGCAGGAAGTGCCGCGCATCATCACCAGCCTCAGTCCCGGGGAATCTTCTTTTCCAGTTACACCAGTGTGACAACTCATTTATCTGCGGTTGATGCAGACTTGGAGTACAACGGCAAGAAGGCCCTAGATTCTTCTGCTGGCACGCGAAGACATCTTCACTCAGCCAACAAGATAGTCTGAGAGTCGTAACAGCATCACAATTACTAGCTGAGCTAGAGATGCCAGAAGTATTCATGGCCAACATTGTTGGTGAAAGCACTGGGCATGCTATCCACGTGTAATCAATCTCAGAAGCAGGAGCCGAGATGCAGGAACGACAGCTAATATGGGGCGGCATGTGTCTACCAAGGGACGCTCCGAAGCCCGCGCAGTGTAGGGCTACTTTAGGAAAGAAGGGAGAAGAAGGGAACAGACTTTCTTCGCCAGGCACACAAAGTGCTTCTCCGTCACCCTCTCTCTCCCCCTCGCGCCTCCAGGGCACCAAGGGCGCCGGCCCGTGGTATTTAAGCGTGCACTCAAAAGCCAAGAGAGTTGACTAACAAATACAACCAGCATCTTTGATGGGTCAAACGCTGGCCAGATGGTTGTTTCAGCGTCATGCGATGACGCCGTTGTGCCGCAGTCAGCAGGCTTGGTGGTGCTGGACCCTGCGTTTCCATTTGCCCGGGCAACCCTGAAGCGTCCACAAATGCGAGGGAGGGGGGCCTGCACTGCGCTGTCCCGCCTGAATTTTCCCTTCTCGTCCAGCCAGCGGCGCGCCCACATCAGCCCAACCCAAGTTGCCAACTCCAAATTACCTACCTCAGGTGGTCTCCAACCCCCCACAGCAGCCAATATGGCAGCTCCCGCCCTCAATCTATTAATTCCCCTTAGTGTCGACCTTATCCACGAAGCTTGTCTCAAAGACGACTTTACCGAGTGAATGAAGGGGGCTCTTCCGAGCAACAGCCTTCCCCGATCCACCGTGCTGTGCAGGGCAGCGAAGCTTGTGTTGGGACTGGAGCATTGTGGGAACAGGACGGGAACAACGTGGTCGACATCACCAGGTCTCGACCAACTTTTTTCCAGCGAGATCCATCGTCTCCAGCCTCAATCATGGGGCAGTGGTCTGGAACGAACGTGTTCCGACCTCAGGGAGGCTCCGCTGGTCTAAATACGCGAAGAGGGCGAAGCCGCAAGCGAAGAGAACGACGCCGCCTGCCAGGCGTGGCCGTTGGACTCCTGAGCGTTACGCATCCGTCTCAGACCCGCTGGGAGGCCCGTCTGAACTTTTTTGGCAGGCCGTACGGGAAAAGCTGCCATCGGAGGTTCGCCGCCGCCCGCCCTCTCACCTCCAGCACGTGTGGTGGTGTAGGTGCCATTGGGGAGACATTGCGACTGGGCGGCGCTCTGCAGCGAAGTCGCAGCCCTTTGCCTCTACTAAGGCCCATTCGAGTCCGTTATGGTCCATCTCAAAAGGGGCCTGAAACGCGGGTGCAGCCCCGTTTTCGTCTGGACTCCCAGCGACATCTGCCCATTTCCCTACTGCGGTATGGGAATGTCCCTCTCACCCCCAGCTGCGAGGCCACAGCCAACGCAACCTTGCGGCGGGAACGGGAAAGCCCTGTCCGCCCTGTCGCCTCGAGCCTAAACATCCCCTGCGTTTGCCTGTCTTCAGCCATTGGCACGAAGAGCAAGGTTGGAAGTGTGTGTGTGGCGGTCGTGGTCGCGTAGATGGCCCCCCCACGGAGAAGACTCGGTCTTGGACACCACCACCAAAACCACCACTGAAGGGGGGGCACGCCTCCACCCGCGTACGCCTCCGTATCCACCGCCATCTCCACCCACGCGACGGCATCCGTTCCAGAAGATCGTCGGAGCTGCGGAGAGGATCTGTGCTTGGGGTTGCTTTTTGATGTCCTTTTGGCGCATCTTGGCTGGAAATACTTGCAGGTGAGAAACAGTATGAGGCTGGCAATGCTGGCTCGAATCCACTCCCGCAGCACACCCCAACATCGTCATCCATGGTATGAAATTCGACCGGACGAGAGCGCTGTGGAGAGCGGTTCCTGACGGCGCTGCATCGTCCACCTGGTCCTTCGCGAAAGCAGACAGGGACTGGCCGAAGCTTTGCCCATCACCAAAGCGCTTACACATTTTACTCCTCCGGGCTTCACTTGCAAAACCATGCTCACCACCACCCCCCCTTCCCCCCTGTCGAAACAAGCTCTACCCTTGAAGCACCTCCTCTTGTCATCGCCAAAAAGGGGAGGGTCAGAGAGGGAACTCAACGGGCAACCATGTCGACCGCCGTTATAAAACTTTATAGGCCTCGCTCTTCGGGTAAAATGCAGGCCTCCCTGTGCTCTTCCCGTTTGGATCGCTCGCTCACACTTTCCTTTCGTCGAATTATTCCCAGCCGGTCTGTTTACACTTCTCTTCGGCCCAATACCTCTTTCGTTCTCTTCAACGGTGCTGGACACAATTGTGTTGTAATTCAACTTTTTGATTTTTTATTCTTTTTCGATTCTTTTTTCGTAAAGCAAATTCAACCATGTCTACCTCTATGAAGGCGTTGGTCACCTCCGCCTTGTTGGCGGTGGCTTCGGCTCAGGGTGTTATCCTCAAGGCTCAGGGCAAGGGCGCTGCCAGTCTGCCTCTCCAAGGTAAGTTGTGATGGAAGGAAGAAAAAGATGGGAAACGGGGGGATTAGAAGAACCGGAAGAGTGGGCTAACATAGCCCCCGATAGTCGACACGAAGAAGGCCGATGCGAACATCATCAACACCAAGGAAATCACCGACAACGCCGTCAACGAGTGCGGTCGTACCATCCTCGCCGGCAACATCGACATCGGCGAGAACACCGAGAACCAGCTGATCGCAAAGACCGTCACGCAGGTCACCAAGGGCAGCACCGTCGATGTCCAGATCGCCCAGGTCAACCAGGACGGCTCGGGACCGTACACCTGCGACATGGACCTGACCAGCAACGCCAACGGCGCCACCGGCCAGACGAAGCTCCAGGTCCAGGAGGGCCAGCCGCAGAACGGCATCATCAACCTCAAGGTCACCATGCCACAGGACATGGCCTGTGTAGGAGGTACGTCGTCACTCTAATCCTCTTCCGCCATAATGATACTAACACGTGACAGCCTCCACCGGAGACGTCTGCACCGTCCGCTGCTTCAACGCCGCCGCCGCCGGCCCCTTCGGCGGCTGCTTCGCCGTCCAGCAGACCGACACCACCCCCAAGCAGAACACCCCCCAGAACATCGACACCAAGCAGACCCTCGAGAACGTCCTCACCCAGGTCCAGCAGAACGCCAAGGACCTGCCCGCCGCCGTCAAGTCGAACCAGGAGGCCAAGACCCAGGACGAGCAGGGCGTCACCGCCATCAAGGAGATTCTCGGCAACAACGCCACCCAGGAGGCCGCCGGTCCCGCTGGAAACGCTGCCGGGGGCAACACCGGCAACAACAACAACAACAGCAACAACGGCGGCGGCAACAGAAAGAACAACGGCAACAACGCTAACAACGGCGGTGCCACCCGCGGCGGCGGCGCTGCCAAGGCCGGCAAGAACAACGGAGCCAACGCCAACAACGGCAACGGCAACGGTAACGGCAATGCGAACAACAACGCCGCGACGGGAGGTAACAACAACAACAACAACGGAGCCGCGACCCAGGGAGGCGGTGCCGCCAAGGCCGGTAAGAACGCGGGTGCCAACGCCGGCGGCGCCACGAACAACGCCGCGACGGGCGGCAACGGCGGAGGCAACGGGGGCAACCGCGGCGGCCGCCAGAACAACAACAACAACAACGCCAACAACAAGCGCGATGAGTTCCGTGCGCGCGTTGCCAGGAGGCACCTCGTTCCCCAGAACTAAGGGGTCAAAGAGAGTGAAGAGGGGGAGCCGGGTCGTACATAGCCCGGTTCTGTTGTTAATGGGCTTTTATATCCACGAAGGCCCAACGTTGTTGAAGATGAAGAAGCATTAGCTGTTGTTACACCATATCCCATATTACGTTTTGGTTGATTAGTTTAGCGAAATAAATCTTGAGAGAGCTTTCTAAAGCGCGTGTGTTGAATGTTCGAGGGGAAGGGGTGTGTCCCACATTCCCGTGTTACACAGGTTGCGTTGAGACTTGGCTTTGCTTTGGAAGATGTAAGATATTCCTAGAGAAAATCAAAGAAAAAAGAACTAAACCTATGGAACATTAGTTGGTATGGGCACTGTTCACAGAGCGCTGGTGTAGTAAGACTCTGCTTCTTGGGATGAGACTAGAACGTGGGGTGTATCGTCGGACAAAATAGGATGCCGGGGTCAAGAGGCTCGGGTGACGTCTCGGCACCCGAGGCTGCTCGGATGATGGAAGTGGAATGTGCTTCTCTTGTATCTTAATATGAATCACGGCCCCCCTGAACCAAAAGATTGTCTTACCGAATGGGTAAAGCGGCCTAGACGGAAAGCGCTGGGTATGATGCTCATTACCAAGCCTGGCCTACACGTCTTGCACGGCTAGCGTTTCTGTGAGCCCCAAAACTTTTGTTTATATGGAAATAGATCTCTCACTGGGACAGTATTTCTGATCAGAAATTCAGCTCTTTCTGAGAATTGTAACATCGGATCACTCGTTTTATTCAGGTGGGTGTCTTCAGCCTTTCTTTTGGCCTGGGATGTGATGGCCTATTCTCACTATCCTTATTTCAAACTGTCATTTACATTCTACGACACAGTCGCTCCTTTTTCCAATGATTCTCATTTTGCGTGAGGCTCTAGATCAGAAGTCGTGCAGAGACGAATCAGCATTGCCTTGGGATGGCCAGCACTTCATAAGAAGCACGCATCCTCGAATTTGGACAGTGGCCTTTTCTAAGCTCAAAGGCCTACCGAGTCTGATCGGTTTCTCAGATTCTTCCAATTGATAAACATCAGGATCTCCCCCACTAGCGGAGCAAAGACCGAGGGAAGCCACCAACACCCATTTGCAGACCACAGCATAATCCGTTGAACCTATAACCTGATCTACTTATCGACTTGTCGATCTAGTAAATTGGAGAATCGCTATCTGTCTGCTTCACTTCATTTCCCTTCGTTGATGTATCCCTGGACTCCCAAGTAACATAATGGGGGTACTGGGGAAAGGTAAGATCGAGGTGCAACAGCCGGGTCCTCTGGCTTGATAGACTCATGGAGGTGAAGGCGTCGGCAAGAGACCGCCGAGGATGGGTAGACTGATTGTCAAATCATTAATACCCTGGTGCAAATGCACCCGATGATCGTTGACGTTCTTGTACGCGATTGTAATTCCTGGGTTGCGGCACGCATTGAAACCAACCACGCATGCTTGACAGGGCGGCACAGTCTGCAGGCGCCGTTATGTGTTCCAACAGCACCCGCCCATGCAACAAGTGGATAAAGTCACAGCCTGATCCAAAAGGCGAAGCCCATATTCAACAACGTTACAATTTGAATCTGTGGCCTGATTCCACGTCAACATGCAGCGAAGATGGTGTAGTGACTTTCCCAGCAGCGGTTCTGGTTGGCGAAATGTGCGGTTGCCTTCAGCGAGGCATCCTTGGGGGCTCAACTGCTGGCACTGTTCGCGATTGATCTGTCACCCATCCGACTCCATTTCCCTTCCCCTAGTTACATAATAGATGCATGGCCACTTCAGGCCGTCGAAAATCAAGTGCATCCGCCCCCTCCAGCGCTGACATTGATTTTGTGAAGTCTACTCCAAGTCTCATTACAAGGCGAAAATTCAGCGGTACAGGACTTCCATATGCAAATATGGAGTTTATTGGGGTGGCGGCTAGTTCAATTACTTTGTTCGAGCTCGTAGCAAAAGTCAAACGCTTCAGCGACAAGGTGAAGGGTGCGCGAGAGGACTGGAAAAGATATTGTGAAACCCTACACACACTGGCATGCGTGAGAATTATCCCCGTTGTTGGTAGACTACATATTCTGACCAAGAAGCAGGTCTCAAACACCCTCGATGTTCTTTTTCTTAGGTGTCCAAGCCTCCGAGACCTTACCGTTCGTCTCGACGGGAAAGACGGTCAGGTTTCCCTGGTGAAACACGTACAGACGGTGCTCGTAAAAACGACTCAGGATGCCCAAACTCTTTTGAAAAGATATAAAGACCCATCGGCTAGCCTGGAAAAGGATCGCAGCAGGTTGCTCAGACTCAAAATTTGGTTGTCCAGGTCAGGCAAAGCTGTAAGCTTTGTGAACGACCACGAAACCCTTACCAGTCAAATCAAGCGTGTTGAAGAGGCGCATAGTAATCTTCACATGGTTCTGACGATGGCCTCTCTGAACTCGTCTAATTCGTGGTAAGACTGCCATTTTTTTGCGCGCTAGAATATGTCAGCTGAATCCGAAAAATCAAAGGCAATTCAAGGCACGCAGTCTTCTCGACAACATCAGGACCGATATAGAAAAACACAACGAACTCTTGAACAGATCCTTCCAAGACGAAAAGCTGAGGTCATGGAAGTTGGATGGCGTGTGTACACCGGATTCGGGAAGTGGCCAAGATTCTGGTGGCCTTGCCAACGTGGACTCATCACCACGAGGCTCTTTCACGAAGAGGATTTCATCTCGTTGGATAAGGGGCATTAAGAGCTCCAAAAACAGTGAGCGGAAGCCCATTCGACGAGTTGGAGATGATTCATCCAAAACATCACACCAAAAGTATCAGGCTACGTTGCCTGATCAAGATTTCACACCTCGAACAACAGTGACTTCGCTGCCGAGTACGACTTTGGAAGAGGCGGCACGCTCCGCCGACAGCGCATCACAGGCTGCAGATTCCGTGGTACAGGGCTCATCTCTTCTCACTATCGCCAAACAAGAGAACGGCATTATTAAGAGGAACAACGAACTTTTCCTGGTGCCTGTAGATTCAGAGGAATGTCGATCGGCAGCCGGGCCTGTGAATCCCGACCTTTTCCAGACTTCCACTTCCCCCAGTGCCCGGATTGAAGACATGATGGAGTCATTGTCTGAATCCGAGTGGGCAGCGCTACCGCAAGTGCAATCAAAGCAAATTAGACCCCTAAACTTGCTGTTAATAAGATTTTTTCACAAGGGTTTAATTAATTAGCTACGTTATAAGTATAATAATTTAATCACTACCTAAAACTATATTATAATAAGGCTTATAATAATCCTATTAGCCTAAAGCTATTCTGATATATTATAACCCCCCTCTTTAGCTAGTTTTTTATTAGTTAGAGAGTCTCTATAATAAGTAGTATTATTATAAGCCTCTATAATATAAGGCTTAACTTAGTAATACTAAATGCCCTCTTATAATCTACTACTATTACTAATATAGCGAAGATATTAATAGTAAACTAGGATAGGTCTAAATAGGTCTCTATATACTCTCTCTACTAATATATAAGATCTACTATAGCCTCTAGAGGTTAATAGAAGTAGAGATTAAACTTATCTATTTAGGGTAGTAGCTATTAGTACTAGCTATTAACTTATTACTAGAAGTAATAATCCTTATCCTAAGCCTTAAGATTAACTAGGAGTAACTTAGCCTATATACTATCTAGTAAGCTAGCTAAAAGACTTTTATTAGTATTAGTTTAATAATACTACTTATTAAAATAGTCTATAAAGTTTAAAAGAGCTTTATTAACCTATTCTTATTAGTAGTTATTACTCTATATATCTCTTAAGTATAATATACTATATAATAGATATAGAATAATTATATTAGAAAATAGTAGTAATACTTCTAACTTATTATAGTATAACTAAAGCTTCTACTATACTTATTTAATACTACTATAGAGGAAGGTCTACTATCTCTTATTAAGAGTATTAAATTAAGAGGTAGATTATAAAGCTAATAATACCTAGTCTTCTTATATATATTAAGGTAAGGTATAAGCGTTATACTAATAATAATATAGGTATTCTAACTACCTCTAAGAGTTCTATAACTATTAGGATTCACCCTAATTATTATTATTAACTAGAGGTAAGATTATAAAGTTATAATACTCCTTCTAGTTAATAAAGTATAAGAGAAGGTATTTTATACTTATTATAACCTCCTAAAGTTAACTATATTTATTACTAATACCTTATCCCTCATATTATTTTATTTAATAATAAAAAAGCTTAAGGATTATATTTATCTTAATAAAAACTTTTTAGTTATTAGCTAATAGTAGATCCTCTTTTAGTATATACTATTTAATATCCTTATTATTATTAGTAGCTAGTATAAAAGCTTAGATCTCTACTTTCTTTATTATAGCCCTCTAGATTATAAAATATATACTATTCTATTAAGTATTATTATTCAGTATAAGCTAAGCCTCTTAGTATAACTCTAAGAAGATCTAGAAGTTAGAGTTACTATTAACTTCTACTATAGTTTTCTAGAACCTTTTAGTATGTTATAGTAAAGCTTAGATAAACTTAATAATATTCTAAAACTAGCTTATAAGCTTAATATAGTACTAAAGCTTAAGATTATTATTATACTAGTTTATAAACTAATAGAACTCTAATTTAGTATTAAATATATCTTTATTAGTGCTAAATAAGAAGGCTTAAATTAAGAGATTAAGGATATAACTATAGTACTATATATACTAAGCCTCTATATCTATCTCTATTATCTTAGAATTAATACTCTAATAGAAAGTTTTAAGGTAGGTATTATTATTTATAGTATTATTAAAAATTATTACTTTAATTTAGTTCTAAATATTATATTAGTAGATAATACTAATAAGGATTTCTAAAAGACTATAACCTCTATAATCTCTATAATATTATAGAAAGGCTAAAAGATAGAACTATAAGATACTATTACTATTAATAAAATAACTAATAATTACTATAAAAAT